TTCGCGAAAACAACATGTTAAATTTCACGTTAGTGCTTGGGCAAGATCATACTTTCTACTAAAAATTTTAATCAATCAAGTTTGTGTATCATTTTGATCATAGTGATGTAGCGGTACCCTAACGACCTTGGCGGTCCCAAAATTGGCAAAAACATTCTGCCTAATTACAGACATCGCCGTATAATCATGATTCTTCGAAAAAGATGGCGAAATGGGTACATCGACACACACACGTTCAGATTCTTATCACCAATAATAAATTTGAAAAATAATAAATTGCATTTTCCCGTGAAACCATTTGTATAAATATTTGAGAGTTCGTTGCGGTGTTTCATCTAATAAGCCATTTGTTTGGTGTAAATACAATATGTACTCTAGGAATTGTCGTCTGCTGTTTATCTTTACAACTGTGTTCTGATAAAAGTATAAAAGTTTATTGTATGGGGTTTGGGGTTAATCGCCAAGTTTGAACAGGAAGTGACGTACGAAAAATATAATATTTAACGTTGTATTTAAATTGGAGGCATTAAGATACTTTAACTTTCATTTGTCCTCTTAAAGGATACAATTGGGTCATTCCAAAATCTCGGAAGATTTTGAACGTACACCACACTATACGAGAAAACATACATAAATAATCATCTTGTGTAAAAATAAAATAAGAATGCTACAATATTTTTTTAATTATATTAACTGGCCATCACAAATTAAAAATAGAACTTCATTAGTACCTCAAGGGTCGAAATTAGGACCTCTCTTATTTCCAATTTACGACATTGAATTATTTGATACCGTTAAGCATAGTAAAATACAAACAATTACAGATGACACACAATTATATTATTATTTCAATCCAAAAGTTGTCAACAACACAGGTATCATCATAAATACTGACCTCGAATGCATAGCCTCCTACTCATCAGAAAAATATTTATTTCTACTAGAAAATATAGAGATGCTTTAAATTGTCACGTAAGTTTGGCCATCGATAACAGAAAACTGCCAGTAGTTTAAAAAGGGCGAAAAAATTGAGCCTATTTATTAATCACGATTTAAGATTTAAAAGTCATGTTAAGTTGATTGTAAAAAAGGTTTTTCTTTTTCGGGCCTAAACTAAAAAAATACTTCCATGACCTCAAGAAAAATAGGTCTCCGTTTCCGCCTGTCTGTGCCAATTTTATAGTGGTGGTTCATGAATCCGCCTTAATTTTTTACTCTGAACATCCAGATTTTCGTAAAAAATTCGATCAGCACGTTTTGTTCCAGTATACAATATTGTCGTGGGGTAAACTGGGTCGTCGTGTCGCAAAAATGTTGAATTACTATCGCGAACGTGGCTGGTATGGGTCATAATTTTTTTATTGATCAAATCAAGAACGATTCACCCCAGTTCTCGAAAATTTGAGAATACAGTAATGTTGTGCTCGCCTATATTTAATAACAATAAAACAAGAATTATCGTAATAATTATGTACTTATTCAAAATAAAATTCAGAAAGTTTTGCCCATAATTAATAATTTAAGTCGCCTCCTCTGTTTTGTGGGGACAAAATCATTTAAATCAAGCAGCTTGCTGGGTCCTTAATCTTTGCATTCTTTCGAGGTATAAACATAAACAATCGAAGATAAGCTTGTACTTTTTTCCCGTTGGTTATCTGAATTAAATATATTTCATATTATTCGCACTGGTGTTATTTCGGCACTGGTTTTTATTTTATAGAGGTTACAATAAAGCAAAAATCGGATTCCTTGGATTGTACTTCAGGGGCGAAATAACCTTGGATCAATTTTGCTCCTTAAAGTTGCTGTACTGTATTTATTAAAATTTCAAACTAAACATACGTTACAAAAAAAAAAAAAAAAATGAGGTAGTTAAAAATCGAAAAAGTTTTTAAACATAGTAATAATCTTTTATTGTTCAAGAGTAAGATCTTAATTACAAGACAATCTAATAGAACTTAATAAATTTAAATACACATTCGATCTTTAATTTAACAAAAATCGAGTGTTCGAATTATCAATGTCAAAATTGAAAATTCTTAATATTTTTATTTTTTATTTTTTTTTATTTTATTAAATTACGTCCCCCAACAGGCACCGAGGCCCAATTACAGGGGAACGGGACATACACGTTACACCCAGAGCCATGGCGGGAATCGAACCCACGACCCAAGGTGTAGCGGGCAAGCATGATGCTAACTAGCCCACCCCGGGTCCTTAATATGTAACAGATGTAACTCACAGTGTAAAAAAAAATGACCCATGAGGGGATCGAACCTCCGACCTGCACGGTATTAGCACAACGTTTACACCCACTATTATTATACAGGGTCAGTCATCTAAAAGGGACTCCTCGAATAACTTCTTTGTTTATTAACCAAAACTAATCATATTAAATTTGGAATTGTAAAAAAAGCAACGGAAAAAGTATATGATGAAATATTGAAATCTACAGAATATTATTTTCTCAATTTTATAGTAAAATAAAATTTCAGATAAATTAAAAAAAATCTGATAATATATTTTTTTATTATTAGTAAAGTGATGCGTATATAGATATTATTCTTCTTTATTTATAAACTAAATTCCATTAACGTGGGATAATAAAAAAAAAGTTATTTGAGGTGTCCCCTTTTAGCTGACTCACCCTATATAATTTGGATTTTTTTTGCGAAAATCTGAATGTTTAAGGTAATAAAAGCAAGGGGGATTCGTAAACCACAACTGCAGAAGTATATTATTTTATAAACTTTAAATAGTACTATTATGCAAAATACAGGACGTCTATACTTGTTGTTTATGAATTTGCCTTTACTTCTCGTCCTAGAAGTGCCAATTTTTGGAAAAAAAATCACCGCTTTACACCAAAACTTTCAAACTAGCAAATTGACTACCGTGAAATTTTAAAACAATTTTAAGGTTATGGTAAAAAAATTTCGATGACGTCATCTCAAAATTTTGTTAAATAAATACTGTCTGAAATATGTAAATTTTAATATGATCGAATAAAAAAGTCGTCCAGGAATCTATGAAACTTAATGTTAAAATAACTATGTTGGCAACACCGTTCTTTGTTCACTTTGACAGTTGTTACGGGCCAATAACTGTCAAATTAAGTGTCAAATAGCTGCAAGGCCAACATCTTTATTTTAAACATAAATTTCATGGCTTACTAGACAACTTTTTCTTATGATCACATGGCATTATGGGCTTTCGCTTAGAGTTTACCGTACTTTTGTACTTTTTAATTTGCTTATATAGGATATCCTAAAAAAAATCTGTACTTGTGGTTTATTAATTTGCCTTTACTTTTTAACCTAGAAGGGCCAGTTTTTGGGAAAAAAATCAAAACTGCACCAACATTTTGCAATCTAACTTTCAAACTACAAAATCCACTGTTCTCAAATTTTGTATAATTTTTAAAGTTGCGGTAAAAAAAACTCAAGGACGTCATCTCAAAATTGTGTGAAATAAACACTGTCTGAAATATGTAAATATTAATATCATCGAATAAAAAAAGTCATCTAAAAACCTTTGAAAATGTAATGTTAAAATTTTGGTAAAACCGCATTCTTTTGTTAACTTTGACAATTAATGTCAAATAACTGTCAAATAAAATCCCAAATGGTTGCAATGCCAACATCATAATTTTAAAAATTAATTTCATAATCGACAAGAAATCCTGTGTTTCGATCGGTATTATGATCTTCCATTTATGATTTTCCAATTCATCGTCTATTTTTTAATTGAATACTGCAGGTGTCTCAAAAAAAAAATTCTGTACTTGTGATGTATTAATGCGCCTTTACTTCTCGTAAAAATCTACATTTTTGGAAAAAACTAAATTTTAAACCAATATTTTAAAAACTTTCAAAATACAAAATCGACTACTCTGACTCGACTACTACTGTGTAAAATGAAAAAGAACCACGATATCCTTAACATTAATAAAATTAGTTTCGTTGATTTTCGGTATTAGATATCGTCGTAGACCACCAAAGCTGATTTTTTCGATTTTTTTTAGATTTTCAATTATTTACAATTATTACAACTCTGAAAATTGAAAGAAAAATCAAGGTTATTAGTCTGAATTAATTATTCAGTTTTTGATAGCGCTTTATATTTTATTTGGTTATTGTAAATTTAATTTTCTACCTATAAGTTAAAAATCGAGGCAGGTTCATAGACAACAAGTTTAGGGATGCTTTTTTTATAAAATTTAAGCGGCATTTAGTGGGGGATGCATTTTTAATAATTTTTGACATATCGAGAATCGCCCGCTTATGACTCGCCCTGTATAATAGATAGTTTTTTATCTCATTATATTTCATAAACAATAATAAATAAATCTGTAATTTCCGGTTAAATAGGAAGTATAAAAAATTGAAAACATCATCTGCAAATTACATTCTATCCATGTATGCAGGTAAAAATTTAAAGAAATCGTTTTTCATTCCACGGAAACAATTGACCGTTTCGATATTTTTGCACACCCTGTATGCCACAGAATAAGGACCTATTATTATTATTATTATTTTATGGCACATAATAATCTACAAAAAAAAAACAACTAGATTCGACAAGTTGCGTTATATTTAACCAGCCTAATCTGCTTATCTACACCAAACATTATAAAGAATTGTATCATTAAGCTTGTAACATGTGAACAACCTCGAAAATTTTCGCGGTAATAATTTCCGAGACTCCATCGAATGATTGACACGCACCAATAATGAGTTTTCGCAATACTCAGGGGAGGCCTCGTCGACATTAATCCGCGTGACTGCCGACGTTCGTCCTTCGTCCATTGTGAACTAATTCCAATTGAAAAACACGAACAACCTCCTCTTACGTAATCCCGCCATTATGTAAAAAATACGAACGATAAGATGAGCTCCTAATCTCATTCACGGCACGCCAAACCGAACGATCAGAGCCGGCGGCCATCGTCACGTGATGCCATATTTCCCGTCACGTGACTGGATTTTCCTAATTTTCAGGTGGTCCTATAAGATCGGCTGCAATCGACAACAATCGATACACCCCAGACCCGCAAAGAAGTCACGTAGATATCATCAGGCCACGACCGACACCCACCAGACCGCCGCTTTCTGTGAAGGGCCGCATCGTGGTGGCCCTTTATAATTACGAAGCGAGGGACAGCAGCGACGTGTCGTTCAAGAAGGGCGATCGCATGGAAGTGATCGACGATTCTGAGGGTGATTGGCTAAATGTGATACATCTCATAACCAAAGTCCAGGGGTATATTCCTGGGAACTTCGTCGCAGCGGAACTCAGCGTCGAAAGCGAAGAGTTAGTATTTTTGGTTTTTATGGCGTTATCTAGGCGAAGAATTTGCATCCCGGGATCTTTTAGTTCGTGGTCTCCTATTTTTCAAATTTTGACTTGTAAAATGTAAATGGTGGAAGCAAGTAAAACAATCCCGAATTCTCAGTCTGTATAATAAATGAGAGGTCGTTATGGTGTCGAATTTCCAAAGACCCTGTTAAAAGATTCAGAAATGACCTATAAATTTGAAATTTTTCCAACGATTAAAACATCACTCAGGAAAAACCGATTTAAAAAAAAAGTTTTTGTACGAAAACCCAAAATACCTCGGAACATTCCAAAAATATCTAAAGTACAATATATAGACTGGTATAAAGCTAAAGCATAAAATTATTTTTTTTGGATTTAAAAAATTATGTAGATATTTTTGGTATAGAAACACTGTATATATAACTTTGCTGCGACCCAGAAAAAATAAAACATACAGTTGTTTAATTAAGTTTTAAGGTTATTAAATCATTATTGGAATAAGTTGTGAGAACATTGAAGTACTGTAGTGTCATAAATTCCATCATCTGCATTATAGTTATCTTTTCAGGCCGTACTCTTGAACTTCCTGCTTCTCCTGTGATGACACACATGTGAGAATGTTTATTATCGATCACATTCAAACACCCACAACAGTCTACCATGCATTTGACTAACCATTTTGCATTTTAAACATTCGTTTCAAAAACTTTCGTCAGTTCACAATATCTTCCCCTCAAGTTTTAGTGACTCACTTTCTTTACAATTCGTTTGGCTCTTGCTTATCAATTTCATACGTAGGTAATTTTATCATTGTCATTGTTGTTTAAATAAGACGATATTACAACATAATATTCGTGGAAGCGTGTTTACTTTGAGGTAAATAGCACAGTTTTTTAAATCGTTCTAGATCTCGTGTAAATCTACAAAGATGTAGAATTTGAATTTAAATTCGAGATCTATTGTTACACTAGTGACCTAGTTTGGTATCTCATCGGATAATTTTTTACGTTCTGAGCGTAAGGTAAAAAAGTAGTGTAAACAAGTCTATCGGACGACTGGATACTTTTGTGTTTTCTCGACGTTTCATCACACCTAGAGTACGAAAAAAATAGGCTTCCGGTTCCGTCTCTCGTCTGTCCGGGTTTTTATTCGGCAGATAATCTCCGATTGTTATCAAACATTACCCTAGAGTCCTATATATCTAAATTCTTGAAAACAAAACAAGATTAAAACCGTATAACAACATTTTGCAGTTTAATTTTGCAAAACCGAATGCTCCGAAATCTTAAAATGTTTTAAGGTTATCGTAAGTATACTAAATCGTTCATTAAAATTTATCCGTTTATGCTCTCCCAGCAACTGATGATGCCATCTTAGAGTTTTGTCAAATAAGTGTTATTTAAATGTTAAAAAGTAACATAGTCTTGAAGTTGTGGTTTATGAATCCGCTATACATTTTTATTGTAGACATCGAGTTTTCTGGAGAAAAAAAACAAAAAACTCGATGTCTACATTGTAGATTGACAATTTTTCGATTTCTCAATTTTTCGAATTTTCAATTAGCCAATTTTTTGGTATTTCAGTGTTGGGATTTTTCAATTTTTTGATTCTTCAATTTCTCGATTTTTTAATTTTCCGTTTCAGTTTTACGATTTTTCAGTTTTTGACGTATTTAAATTTCCAATATTTTGATTTCTCAATTTCTCGATTAATCGATGTTTAGATTTTCCTACTTCTCGTTTTCTTGACGTTTCGGTTTTTCGATTCAAATTTTTGATTTTTCATTTTCTTGATTTTTCAACTTTTCAGTTTCTCGAATTTTCACTTTTTCGATTTATCAAATTTTCATTATTTCAATTTTGGGATTTGCAATATTTCGATTCTTCAATTTTTTGATTTCTCGATTTTTCAGTTTTTTATTCTTCAATTTCTTGATTCTTCAAGTTTTCGATTTCTCGATTTCTTCAGTTTTCGATTTCTCAATTTTCCGTTTTGGTTTAACGATTTTTCAATTTTTCGACTCTTCAATTTTTTGATTTCTCAGTTTCTCAAGTTATCGATGTTTTGATTTTCCCGTTTCTGGTTTTCTCGACGTTTCAATGTTTCAGTTCTTCGATTCTTCAATTTTTGGATAATCAGGTTATTGATTTCTCAGTTTTTCGATTTTCCGACTTTCTAGAATTTTCACTGTTTCGATTTATCAATTTTTCAATGTTTCTATTCGAGGTTTTTTCAATTTTTGATTCGTCACTTTTTCTTCCATTTTTCAATTTTACGATTTTTCAATTTTTCGATTTTTTAATGTTTTCGATTTCTTGGTTTTTCAATTTTTCAATATCTTTGGTACTTTTTTAGTTTTTAAAATTTAAAATTTTTCGAGCTCTCGGTTTTAGATTTTTCGATTTTAAAAATGTTTCATTTTTCGATTTATTAATTTTTCGGTTTTAAAATTTTTCGACTTCTTTTGAATTTTTGGTTGTTATTTTTCGATTTCTAGATCCTTTAATTGACGATTTCTCGATGTTTTAGTTGTTGAATGTTTCGATTTCATTTTTCGATTTTTCGACTTTTCAGCTTTTCGTTTTCAGTTTTGGAAATTTTCAAGTTCTCGATTTTTCAGATTTTCGATTTTTGATTTTCGATTTCTGGATTTATCAATTTTTGGATTTTATAAATTTTAGGTTTTTCGATTTCTTGATTTTTCGATTTTTCAGTTTTTCCATATTTATACTTTTAAATTTTTCGAATTTTAAAATTTTTTGATTTTAGGATTTTTTGATGTTTCTAGTTCTTGACATTGGTTATTTGATTTTTAAACATTTCGGTTTATAAATTTCTCTTTGATTTTTCAAGTTTTCGATTTCTCAATTTTTAGACATTTGAATTTTGGGAACTGTTCAATTTATTCGAAATTTTAATTTGTCGATTTTTTGATGTTTCGACCTTGTAGGATTTTGATTTTTCGGTTTTAAAATTTTTAGATTATCAGTTTTTTGATTTTTCAATTTTCCTATTTCTCAACCTATTGAGATTTCAGTCTTTTGATATTTTGGTTGTTCAATTTCTCAATTTTTAGATTTTTCAATTTTTCGATTTACCGATTTTTTTTCTTTTTAAAAATCTCAAGTTTTCAATTATTAACTTTTCAATTGTGACCTACATATTTCGATTTCTTCATTTTTCGATTTTTCGACTTTTTGATTTTTCCATTTCTCGATTTCTAGACATTTTAATTGACAATTTCTCGAGGTTTCAGTTTCTGAATGTTTCGATTTCATTTTTCGAATTTTCGACTTTTCAACTTTTTGATTTTCCAACTCTTCGATTTTCCAATTTTTCGTTTTTTCAGTTTTGGAAATTTTCAAATTCTCGATTTTCCAGTTTTCCAATTTTTGTGATTTTGGATTTTCGATTTCTCAGTTTTTCGACATTTAAAATTTTTGGCTTATCATTTTTATGATTTTTCAATTTTTCGGTTTGTAGATTTCTTCTTGATTTTTCAAGTTCTCGATTTCTCAGCTTTTCAACATTTCAATTTTGGGAACTTCTCAATTTTCAGATATTTTCATTTGTCGATTTTTTGATGTTTCGATTGCTCAATCTTTCCATGTTTTGACTTTTAGGATTTCAATTTTTTGGTTTTTCAGTTTTTCGATGTTTAAAATTTTCTCAATTTCTCGATTTATCCATATTACGATGTACGAAGTTTTCAATTGTTCGATCTCTCGATATTTCAATTTTTCAGTTTTTCAAAAAGCGTTGTTTCCCGTTGGTCGTCTGCTTTACATATATTTCATATAATCCGCACTTGTACCGACCGAATGCCACTGGTTTTGCTGCACTTCCGGGGCGAGGGAAGTTCTATCGAAATGACCGTCGACCAATTTTTTAGTTAAAGTAATTCGCGTACTATATTTAATCTACAAAATTAAAGACTAGCGTTTTTTAATCCACTCAAGGAATAAAACTGTTTCGTCGCTGAATAATTTCCCATTCTTTGTGTGTCGTGTTGAAACTTTTAAACTGCATTTTAAGTTCAGCATGAAGGTTTTTTTAACCGATTTTTCTTGTTAAAGGTTTTTTAACGTCGGCGTCTGAATGTTCCAACAAAACCCCATTGTTTCTGACATAACCCCGTTACCAGCGTGTAACAAAGGAATTCTGGCTTTTCATCACTGCAAAATTCTCGTAATATAAAAGTACTTTCACGTCAACTGCATTATTTATCGCAATTACTAAACTCACTGGTCACAAAGCAGTGCCATTTTTTGACGATTGACGAAACAATTTGAAGTGACCTCTGTCATGACGTAAATTAACTAATTTCACCACAGAAGAATCGTCTGTCAGTGACTGCAGCGCCACCGACGGGAATTAAATACAAAATGCAGTGACAATAAATTGCAATTCCAGAGCTCGCTTAACATTAACTATTTTTAGATTCAATCGTCTCAGCCAACATTCAGATCACCGACTGACACAAAATAAAATACAAGTTTCACCTAATCAATTATAGAAAGATTTTCTCCTTCCAGTTTTTATTTTATCACACAGATGATTTAAAATGTCACTTAACAATGTAAAAACGTCGAGAGAAGTGATTAATTTTTAAAAACAGATTAAAACGTAAGACGTTGAAAAGATTATTGTTATCAATCTCTGATACTTTATCTCGTATTAAGACCTGCGATTTTTGACAGTTTAAAATCTGGTCTTGCTGGCACCACACTTCTCGGGTGAATTAATTTTTGGTGTTTGTGTTGAAAAAGCGAGTTGGAGTTTTTAAAGAAGCACTAACTTGTATTGTTTGTTTTCAATATGTGATAATGTAGTGATGAGTAGTTCCCCCATTTGGCCTTCAAAGATAAGCACAATGACGTCGACATTTTGTGGTTAAAACTTAGTGCAAAATGGTGACCTTTTGTGTTATTTGTAAAGTATAAAAAAGTTGCTAAATGAACAGCAGGCGTGTAAGAGTTAGAAGGCACAAAACATGTTTTGTAGGTAATATATTCATTGTCTGGACGTTTTTACGAAAAAAAAAAGTTTGGTAATTTTTCGAGAGAATCTTCTATAATTATTATCATAAATAAAAAATCTGGCGCTACGATATAAGAGATAGTGAAGATGCTCAAGTGCACTTGATTTGATTATCACCTTCTACAATAATCCCGGGAAGCTAGTCAAAATGTTGGAGTATAAACTAAGCGAATTAAAAGTTTTTCCCCGCATAAGTAATTATTCACCTAACATACCCAGTTCGCTTTCATTATCTCCGCCGGAAGTCAACATCCTTTGATTAGCCTAACGTGCAAATTGCCTTGTTTCAGCTGGTTTTTCGAAAACGTATCTAGAAAGGAAGCCGAGAAGCTCCTACTAGCCGAGGAAAATCCCCGAGGGACTTTCCTAGTCCGTCCTTCCGAACATAATCCTAACGGTTACTCACTGTCCGTCAAAGATTGGGAGGAAATCAGGGAATATCACGTCAAACATTACAAAATCAAGCCGCTCGACAACGGCGGTTTCTACATTTCCACCAATAAAACATTCCTCACCTTAGTCGAATTAGTCAACGCGTATACTAGTAAGTACCTCGTCGAGATATCCATAAAATCTAACGCAATCCCACTTCTACAGAAAACGCTTACGGTTTATGCCATGTCTTGTCCAAACCCTGCCCCAAGCCCCAGCCCACTATGTGGGACTTGGGGCCGACTTACCGCGACAAGTGGGAGATCCCGAGGGAGGAGATCCAGCTGATCCAGCGCTTAGGCCGCGGCAACTTCGGCGAAGTGTGGTACGGCAAGTGGAAGAACAATATCGAGGTAGCGGTGAAGATGCTCCGGGAGGGAACGATGTCCACGCAAGCGTTCCTTCAGGAGGCCGCCATCATGAAGAAGTTCCGTCACAAGAGGTTGGTAACCTTGTTCGGAGTGTGCAGCGAGCACGAGCCCATCTACATCGTCCAAGAATACATGTCCAAGGGGAGTCTCCTCGACTTCTTGCGCAAGGATGAAGGCAAGAACTTGGAGTTCGAAGATTTGGTGTATATAGCGTTCCAAGTGGCCAGCGGGATGGAGTACCTCGAATCCAAGCAGTTGATCCATAGGGATCTGGCCGCCAGGAACGTCCTCGTGGGCGAAAATAATATCGCCAAAATTTGTGATTTCGGTTTAGCTAGGGTTATCGAAGATAACGAATACTGTCCCAAGCAGGGTTCGAGGTTCCCTGTGAAGTGGACAGCCCCTGAGGCGATAGTTTACGGGAAGTTCTCGATAAAGTCGGACGTTTGGTCGTACGGCATCTTCCTGATGGAACTATTCACCTACGGACAAGTCCCGTATCCGGGAATGCACGGAAGGGAGGTCATAGATATGGTCGAAAAGGGCTACAGAATGGCCAAACCCACGTCCCACGTCCTTCCAGACGAAATCTACCACATCATGTTGCAGTGCTGGGACGCCAAACCCGAAAATCGTCCCACGTTTGAATTCCTGACGCACTACTTCGAAGGTTTCAACGTCACGTCAGAAGTCCCTTATAGAGAAGTGCCAGATTAAAAAAGAACCCGAGATTGTTTAGTACTTAATTTGTTACGTGAAGTGTTTTTTTCCTGGGTGAACTGTTGTATCATGATACGTATATGCAACCTAACTTTAATAGATCTCATTTTAGTTCTTAGCTTGCATATTTCCGTTCCGGTGTATCACTTAAGCGCTGTCTCCTTGACGCCTATTGCACGTGACGCTGTCTACTGTTCTGTTTTTCGAAAAAAGTGATATGATGATGAATTTCAAAACTTAAAGACTGTTTTGTTTAGTGTAGAAATCTTGTCAAAAGTCTGCTTTTTGATAACGATTTTTTACCTTTCCCGGCGAGCCACGTACGATATAAACGTAGTACAAAAAGGCAAAATTCAAGTGACCTATTCGAGAATTTAACTTTTATATACAACTTTTTGTACATGTTTTACCTTTTTACTCAAATATTGGACGTGGACCAATACTTCTCTTCCTCTTCTGGTCGACCTCAGTTCCTGTATTTGAAGCATTGGAAAAGTGGGAACTTCATGTCTTGTATGTGTGTTGTGAATTGCTGAATTTTTCGGTTTCTGCTTGAAAATATCACCCGGGATCGGTAAGGAGCTCTCTATTTTCGAAAGAGATCGCTGGTGATATTTTTGACCGTAGCCTTAGCTTTTTTAGTTTTGTGCAATAAGACTATGTACAAAATTCATTCTAAATTATAGACCATTATTTTAGATTTATAATGAGTGTTATCACTTTTTAAATGTATTGCTTTTATTTTTGTTTGTTTTATTAAGTATATTTTTTATTGACTTTATTTTATGGGGGTCTGCGCACCTCCTGTTTCAAAAATAGTCATGGTAGTGAACGTGAGTGTTTGTATTAGTATAATTATGTTAGAAGTGGTTATACAACAGTCAGGTTTGATCCAGTCAAGTTTATCTTTTATTAAGAAAAGCCATATGTTATTGATTTTTATAGGAACAATCATAAATTTTGTACATATACAGTATGAAATAAAATATTGTGCTACTCATTCTCACTTCAACGATTTATCAATGATAACACTATTCATCGACCGTTTGCCACTAATGAGGACTCCATTTATCGGAAACTAAAGGAAATTTTTAACAGTGATTGGTAATTTTTTCAAATTCACGTGGAAATGATAAAACGCTTAATAATCTTAAAATGTCTGCACCAGGGTTCTTTTAGTGATTTCAGAATATTACTGATTTGTATTTATTAATCCCCTCCAGAAATTTGATGACGTAACTTTAAAAAACTAGCGCGGAACTTAAAACAATCGTGTATAAAACTAATGTTCTCTTTTTAACAGTTAGTTTTTAAACGCCATGGAATGAAAAAAGTCGTGAATGTGTTTATTTTACGCAACACTTGTCTTCTAAAATCAGGTAAAGATTATTTTTCACGTCACACAGTTATCAACGATTTGAAAATAAACTGATAAATAACAGAAAAACATGTGCAAAGGTGCACTCAACGAAAACAAAATATTGTATTTATCATTTTTTCTGCGCAGTGCGAAATTCGGAATACACACGTTATTTTTTCTACGCGAATTTAATTGCTCAAGGTGGCGCCGAGATAAAAATTTTATCATGAATAAACAAGACTGATCCATTTTATTAAATAAGAAGTTTAGGTAATGTTCTGTTTAAATAAAATAACTTCTCGTAAAACTTGGAGATTTATTTTTTCATTGTTTGATTTACTTTCTAAGTATGTAAGTTATTCTATAACAGGGTACTTTTTTACAACAATTTTTAAGATCTAAATAATAAATAACAGCATTTCAATCAAGCTTTTTTGACAAGTTAACACATATTCGACGGACTGAAAAAAATGGTGACCAAAATTAACAAATTATGTTATGATATATAAAAAAACTTGTAGAAATAAATTAAAAAATCTAAAAAGTAATAAATGATTAACTCGTCCAACAAGAATTAATCCTATTAATTAATAATTGCAATGATTAATTAATTCTAACTAAATTATCTACAAAAAAATCAAAATTTGCTAATTTCAATAATCGCTCTTAAAATACTTGACTTGCTTTTTCTAAAATTTCCTATTCTTTTATAGCTTTCTAATGTATTCCTTTTCGTTGGCGTTGTTGTTGCTTCACCTCCTGCTTGTTGTATACAAATTGGAATATCTAATAACAATTAACTCTCAAATTCGTGCCTAGAACTCAGTTTTCGCCTCAAATTTCTAAAGCTAAGTCATGTAGCATTGAGTTTTTAATTTTCTAGACCTCTTAGACAGTTGTTCCTCTGCTTGTAACTTTGATATAGTTGGCTACGCCTTCGATAGTTTTATATACTCCCCGGGTGCGAAAACACCCCAAAATACTCAAATTCGACCCTAAAACGAGTTTTCTCAATGCTTAAAATTGAGCTGTATCATAGCGACTTCCAAGTCTCTTAAACATACACATTTTGTTGATATGACTTTTTCGAAAAAATTAAAATTTTGTTCGTAAATTTTTATTATAGATAAAAATCATCTATTAAAATTTGAACACATCCTACCATGTAAAACAAGGTATTTTGCAGCATTTGATCATAATACAGCCCTCTGAAGTGGGCAAATCTATGTCCTAAAATTAATATTGCCTACTTTTTTACATAAAATTCTAGACATTGGCCATATAATGGCGAGCACCATAACGTTTAGCGTAAATTCTCATTTTGATCATCCTAATACAACGTTCAATGGATATTTCCAAGTCAGAAAATGACATGGGATGCTTCTTACTAAACAAATTTAAATAAATACCTAAAATTACCAGCAAACCCGACCATAAATACCTGGAACATAGAACTTGTAATGGTTGAAAAATCAATGAAGAGACTTACTGAAACGTAAACGGTTTGCTGAAGAATAAAAATGACACGATAATAGTGACTGCTTTTCTGCACGTAGTTACAGTAACTGCCGCAAACGCGCCACACGTCCTGACTAGAGTGAGAACAATTTGTATCCCTAGGTATCCAGTTAGGGAAAAAGTTAATGCATATCCGTACAGTTTTTTAGGGTTCTGCCAACACACAATTAATTTATATAATAATAGAAATGTGGGAATCACCTGTGAAAAAAATTGTATGCCCTCGGCTAGATCCCCAGTAGCCCCCATAACAATCAACAAGTACAGGAAGCCAATGGAATAGGAAAATAGAACCACTTCTGCATTATGAGCGCCATAATTTTTCATTGATTTCTCTTGCACATTACCAATGATGGCATCGCATAGCAACGCCATGGAAATCATGGTAATTCCTTTCGTGTTAAAATTAGGCTGTACCTGCGAATCAGCTGAAAATAACTTTTTATTAATAACTGATATTAAAACCGCGATAAGAATTGATTAATAAAGGGATTAACTAAACCATACACACCCAGTGTGAACAGTGTTAGTCCTACACACATTAAAACAGCAGCACTAAAATCCAAAGGCCCATACCGTTTGCCTTGAATTAGGATGCTTCCTGCCATAACAGGAATCAATTTACAACACTTGAAAATGACCTGTGTGGGGTAATTCAAGTAACCCAAGGAGGCATTGGAGAACCCCATCGTGCCTAGTGTTAAAAGCGCCAGTAAAAAGTACGTCTGGATTGGAATTCTGTCACAGAAAACGTTAGAAGTGGTTGGGTTTGCCAGTGTACTTACTTTCGAGAGGTTATGTTCCTAAGGCGGGTTTCTACTAACCCGAAAAGGGTGTAGTACCCGAACTGAATAAGCGTGAGGTACCAGCCGAAGGGCTGGAAGCCCTCGATAGTGAAAATGAGCTCCTGCATGTACCCATACAGGATGAAAAATAGAAACACGGCACTGCTACATATGAAGAATTGAACGGTCTGCGACTGGTTAGTGATATCGAAGCAGATGATCGTAATTTTGGGCTTTTCTGGCTCGGGGTCCATCCCCAAGCGCAGATTACCGCGTGACATGTTCGATTAAACCCAATTCATCACTTTTATCCGGGTCCGACACGTTGACAGACTTTTAAATCGACTGATTGCTCGACGTTGACAGCTGAAACGTCACCGTCGCCAATGCACCGCCTCGAAAATCCCCAAGTCATTTTTGAATAATTGACAAACAAAATTATCGTGTCTGATTACAAACCGGTTTGATAACAAACTTTTAAATTCCTCGTGTTTAAATAAGGCTCAAATTGTAAATTATCAGTGGTTTTTGTCCCGCCTGTCAAGGTCAGCTTCTTGGGCGCCATCTGCGGACCGCCAAAACAACAAGAAATTAGTAATGGCCGTTGGGTTTTGGCAGTGTTCTTCGTGTGATAGCTAAGTTCGCGTAAAACTAATATTATTAAACTAATAATTATGATAATTTTAGTTCGGTGAGAGTGACTTGTGTTGTAGTGTTAAAGTGTGTTATTATGTATTGTACGGTTGACAAAAGCCACAGTAGCGGAGCCTCAGCCACGCAGTCCAGGAGCATGAAGGATGGTGAGCCCCCTTGAATTTTTTTACTCGTTTGCAATTAAAATTCGATGATGGAGTGGCCAGCTCGGGCTCGGTAATCTCCCCAGATTTTGCGCGATTCGATCTAAGCGTACTTTATGAATAAAAAATTACGGGAGGAATTTTACCGGGTGCCCTACGTGGGATGGATTCGGCTTGGTTTGGCCTCGTGCCCCCGTTGTTCCAAGTTCGAAAAACAGAGATAAAGTGGCTGTGCAAAGATTCGAGCTAGAATTAATCCACTGCAGTTTTCATTCTTCGCATTTTGCATGTGTTTTGTGTAAATAAAACAAGCTAAATGGGTTTGTGTAAATAAATAGGATTCGAGTTGGCCAGGGTTGCTGATCAATGATCATGAAAATGATATCATCGGGTGATCAGGGTGGCCAACCACCAATGGATTGACGCTGCTGTTACAGGTAGCTGGATCAAAGTCTACTTTCAATCTCAACAATCGACCTGTTGTATGTTTATTACTTTTTTCATTAACGAGGTGTGGGTGTATGGATACCATAAGTGATCAAGTTATTTGTGGAGTCAGGTGCATGATCATATTATTTGATGAATGATTATTAATCAGGAAATAAATTATGCACTTGAATGTTGCTGCTTTCCAAGTGAGTTTTGATGTTTGATGAATCTTTGGCAAATATATATGTCAGTCTGTAGAATTGGTTGCCGATACGCCTGGAAAAGAATATCTTATTAATGATCAGCCTAGATTAGCTGTCATCCATGTCTGATAATTTTCTCACGAAAAAATCGTTCTATTTTTTTCGAATTCATTCTGACAGACTGATTGTATCGACCTGCATTTAAATTCACTGAAAAGTTGAATGCCTTATTAGTTCAGAAAAAGTCGTTTTACATTTAAAATTAAAAAAAAAATGAAGTTACGTAAACTAAAAACCTACTAATGATATTAGTATACTAATCAATAACCTTCATTTCAATAAATAAGAGTCATTTTTTGTATTATTTTTAATTGGACGCATATATCTGAATGAATTAAGTTGTCAGTCAAGAATTGTTTATTTTTTGCGTGAACGTATTTTTTGTTTAAAATTTACAACCGAGAAGTTAAACAGCCCAGCCTCTAATTCGTAAAACCGTAAATTACACACCTGTGATTGAAACTTGGCGGTCGCCAAACATTGAACACGGGCGTATTTCCTGTGATTTGTAATGTTTTGAACAAGTTTCTATGTAGGTGAAAATATTTTGTGACGGACATTCCTGAGATCTCAAAGCGACATGCGCCGTCACAAGTTGATGAGGGTCTTTACCAGCGGAGTTGTTCGAGCATTGTGGGTTACAGCAATATGATCAAGCTTCAAAATAAAGTTACTTCAGAGAAATGCTGTCCAGCTGAACGTTTATTGCTGTGTATCAACTGATCACTGATAAATTTCCTGATCAATTACACTCGATCATACAAAGTTTGTTATCGTCGGGTTCTTGTTTGACTGAACAGAGGCTTGGAAAAAATATAAAACGCAGGATTCATCAGTCTCAGCATCACTACGGTCATCCACATCGGAATGGACTGTGCCAGCGTTACTTTTACTTTGTACTACACCAGTCCAACGACCACTTCAAGAAGTGCTGCAATAAATTGACGCTAATGGAAAACGTCATAAATCGCTCCTTGCTAAGTCATTATAAATAGACACCACACTCATCATTCATTCAATGAACGATTACTAAATTTAAGCCGTCTGGTACTATGGAATTGTACTCTCAGACCGATGATAAATGTACTATGTATAGTATGCATTTTTTCGTAATCACAAAGAGCAAAAACCTCTATAAATCGCCGATGTCCCGTTGCAAACAATCAAGCAACGACGTTAGAATTACATGTTGACGTAGCATTATCGTTCTTGATGGTGGGGTGTTCCGTAATTGCATACTGTATTCTGCAATTTTTGCTTTTGCCATCGTCATTAAAATTTCATTGTGTTATACCCAGAGTGTAATAATTGCACCACAGACATGGAATTCGTCGAAGTTTAACTTAACTCAACTCGGAACCACTCAACAACTTCGGAACGTTGGCATTGCGGTGTTAGTGCAAAGTTTGATAATGAATTTACTCGGTTATTGATGTAAACGAGATGAATTGGTCGTAATTAGTTTGGGAAATTTAAGATTCACGCGTGATTTTCGGCAAAGCGTAGCCAGTGGAGCTTGGACATCTTCCATTTGGCAATTTAGGGAATTTATTGAGTGTGTCGCCAGTTTTCTACGCGTTTGGGATTTATGACGGGGTTTAAATTTTATAACAGACTTGAATTAGCGAGCGCCAGGAGAGCCCGGGGGCGGTCGTGGGTTTTACTCGACACTTTCTCATTCATGGTTTTTGGGGTTTATTCGATGACGCGAAAGCACTTGTGGGTGTTCTCAATTCGTGATCGTCTATATTGTTTTTGTGTTGATATGGTGGTGATAAGAACTACCTTGTAGATTGGAGTTCCGGCGTTTTAGTTAATTATCGCAACATTCGCAGCGCCCACAAAACCGCAAATACGTTTTTATTGCTGTTAATAAGGTTTAAGATGGGTCTGAATTCACACTCCATAAATGCACAGCTGTTAGGTTGACTCGAAGCAATTTGGGCAAGGCATTTCCACAGATCCTCTAATTGTACTCTTTGTTGATGGAATTGCACTTACCCTCAGCTGAAGGACGTCAAAGGATCAGGAAAAGTTGCCGTAAATCTTTCCAAGTTCGATACAAAAGATTTAAGGTTGAACGCATCATTGTTAGAAATTATACTTCAAAGGATCGATGGTTGTGCTTAAAAACTAGTTTTTTATTGTTTTCTTTGACCAAGAATAGTGTAATTTACACAGAAAAATATAAAAATATACCTGCAGATTTAGATCTACAGGTAAAAGAGAATATCACTTGTTCTGTGGTTTGGTTTTCCGCCAATTTCATTACAGAAAAAAATCTGAAAGGCTTACCGGTATAATATTGTGGCGTTTTTTATATTCGGGATTGCGTAACTCGTTCTTAGTAAAAATTTACTTTATTATTCATTTATTTAAATATACAGGGTGTTTACTAAACATGCGCCAAAAAGTCAGAAGGTTATTCGTTGGGTTATTTTAAGATTGTTTTGCCCTTGGGTGATTTTCGAAAAGACGCGTTGTTTCGAAGATACTTTTCGAAAAAAACGAATACTGTATTAATTCATAAAGAGGCTTGTTTCTTATTGCAATATACCCCACAATTATTCGATTTCTCAAATCTTCGTCATTTTCCACTGGGGTAGTGTACACTAATGTTTTCACATAGCCCCATTAATAAAAATCGGACCATCTCGACCAATCCAGAGATCTTCGTATCTGCAGTAGACCGTAATTTTACTTTTCGAAACAAAAAAATTCTTAAAACAATCCAAGAAATAACCCCTTGAATGTTTAGTGAACACCCTGTATAAATGGAATTAAATTTTCCTTTCAGTGTTCGCCCTTGTATTTATCTGGAACTGCGCTTATTTTGGGCAGTACTGAATTGCGACGATTTACCTGACTTACTCGTAACTTGTTGAAGTTTAGCTGCCAGTAAAAACAGGATTTATTTTTAGTGTGGAAAATTTTACCATGAGAGCCCTTTGGTGTTGCCAAAAGTATCGTAAGGACGATTTGTTTGTATGTAGTTATATAAAGAAGACCTGCGAGAAATTTGTACTTGCCATCCTATTTTTACTTTAACATACAGGAATTACCTTGAATTCGTCGAAGAAATTAGTCAATGGATTCTCTCTGTAAAAAAAGACAAACTTGTGTGGCGATTTATCTTCAATTTTTTCAGTAATCCAGCTGTGATGTGATGCTGTGTGCATGAGCGAGAAAGAGTGCATGAAACACGTCAAAAAAATTGTAAAATAATTGTGATAAAAATCAAGGCAGATTCATAAAGGACGAATACACGAGTATATTATTATATAAAATGTAGATGACCTTTACTACGCACAGTCAGAACGAGGAGACCTATGTTTTTTGTACTGTAGGGGCATGATACGTTGAGAAAATATGAAAATAGCCAGCTAGTTAATAACCTTCTACTAATTCGATCCCTGCGTTACGTATAAAGTGGCTCTAGAAATATTTGAAAATAGAGTTAATCTTTTTTATTGCTTCTATAATGGGACATAAATACCTTTTAATGACAATTTTATTATTACTCTATGTTGAAATATTTCTGGAACTACTTTGGCTGTTAAAATTTTTGTTTTGATGGTGAAGGTGGCGATAAAATAATATAACAAAATTTCTAGAGGGACTGAAAATTATCTTTCAACTATTTGTCAAATGATGTTATGGGAATATAGGCCGTCCGCGAAAATAATCGTAATGTGATTTTGGCTTTTCCAAACCACTCGTTTGCGAAAAAAAAGCATCTTAACCAATACATCGCCGGTTCTGTTTAGGAGAAGATTAGAAGAGATTATTATTCGTTAAACCAGTGGCGAAAGAGTCAAAATCGTAAAATCACTATTTTCGTGGATGGCCTATAGTTTTAAAGATGAAATATGTACTATTTTT